TCGAAAACCTAAGTTAGGACTAAATTTCACTAAACTGGTTTTGTAAGAGACGTAAATATACCATTTTAAAAATGAGACATGAAAAAATTTATTTAACGAAATGTGAAAGACATTTTGAACGATTTTTTTAAAGTATAAATCACAAATTATTTCAATATTTACTGTTAACACTGGGCTTTGATTTCTAATAAAAGAAAAAAAGAAGGAAGTTATGTTGGCACAGATTAGGCTTTGATTCCAAATATAGAAATATGACACTATAACGCTCAACCCGTCAAATATAGGATTTGACTTCTACCGAAAGAAAAAAAAAAAGGAAGGAATAAAGTTATGTTGGCGGAGATTGAGGCAATTAGCTTATTTTCAGACGTGAACTCTGCTGTGTGCAATTTCATTATGATGATTATTGTTGATTTTCTGAAATAGCCAATGAATGGAGGATTGTACTTTGATTATATCTGTCAAAATATTTCACCAAGCAGTAAACAACCTTTTGTTCAAGGAGTAAGGACTAAGAAGAGAGGAAAGAAAAAGCTAATAAGAGCTATTTTTGTGATTTAAAATTGTTTTCTTGGATCTGGAGCTCAATGCTTACTGCTGGGTATTTTTTTTTTTTTTTTAAACAACGTGCCGTATACAACCAACGACTTCATTTGGATTAGCTGTTTTTTGGAGTATTTTTGAAAAATTTTCTGTAACAGGATGGGAGTGTTTTTCAAAAACTAGTTTTTCAAATACAATAAAAATTTTTAAAAAGTACTCTAAAAGGTAATTTAAAAATTAGTTTAATTTTTTTTAAAATTTTAAAAAATATCTCAAAATATATTTTAGAAACTCTTCTACTCTTAAATATTCCAAAATATTTTCTGAAAATATCCCAAAATATAATCTAAAAACTCTGCTACAGCAAAATTTTTCAAAAACACCCCCATAAATAGCCAATCCAAACGGATATATTTTGGGATATTTTTAGAAAATATTTTGAAATATTTAAGAGTAGTAGAGTTTTAAAAATATATTTTGGGATTTTTTTAAATATTAAAAAAAATTTAGACTACTTTTTAGAGTACTTTTAAACAATTTTTATAGTATTTGAAAAATTGAAGGATCCAAACAGAGCTCAAATTATCGAAAACATCATGCCATTTTGACCAAAAAATACAGACATTCAAATGAATATCATGTCTCATGAGTTTTAAAAATATATTTTGGGATTTTTTTAAATATTAAAAAAAATTTAGACTACTTTTTAGAGTACTTTTAAACAATTTTTATAGTATTTGAAAAATTGAAGGATCCAAACAGAGCTCAAATTATCGAAAACATCATGCCATTTTGACCAAAAAATACAGACATTCAAATGAATATCATGTCTCATGAGTGCAAATAGAAAATGGAACATCAAGAAACTGTTAAGGTCGTTAGAAAGTATAGGGGCCATTCCTATTTTAGGCATTGAATTAATCAATAAACCAATCTGATTAATTACTTTCTGAGCTATCATATTCATGCCTGCCTGATGATAGAACCATGTATAAAGAGTCAAACAATGCATGATGGAGCTATTGTTAGGAAAATTTTTATCAAAGTGTGTATGATCAATGATGATGGATATGCAAATGTCCTCATTCTTGATGTAACAGGTGCAGCAGGAGTAGAAGCCTGCTTTGAGGCTAGAGGGGGACCGGATATTGAATTATGAGAAGACAAAATTCAGTAAAATGCTACTGCTGCCCTCAATTCCATTCTCAGTGGTGGGTGCTGACTGCTGATTGTGTACAAATATACGACGTCCCTTAAAACATTGCATCGTGTAGGACTCAGCTCCTCTAAACAATTCATTTTACCAAGGTGATCGTTCAGCGCCTGGTTCAATCAAATAGTTCATGAATACAATTCGTGACCAAGAATATAATGGCATTTGGCATGCATAGGTGATTAGGGATGTATGCGAAGCGAGCAGCTTTGGAAGCACTTATCGAGCTGCTTGGTTAATGGATCGCTGGTCTTGATTTTGATCAAGTTCAAGTCGAGCTACTTGATCAATGAAGTCTCGTCTTGACTTTGATCATTTTCAAGTCAATCTCAAACATGTTCGATTGTCCTAATGAGTCGAGTGTGAGTAGCATTATAGTATGTTCGATAGCTCATCGAGTTTTATTAAGCATTAATGTGTCTATTAAATAATTATATTTATATGGCTTAAATTACGTAAGTGTTTAGACTTGATTAAAAAATTTCAACCCTTCCCTTCTATAATATAGCTAGTTTTATGGGTATTGGAATCAATTGTATCCCTTTAAAAATTTAAAGGAATAAAAAATTCTTAAAAGACCTAAATCGTAGCTTAACGATCGAACTCAATTGAGTGAGTATGAGCTCTTTAATGATCTCATTGAGTTGCATGCGAATTGTTGTTCTTCTGCTCGATCGATCACAAGCCTGAAATTTTACAGTCAATCAATTTTTAGAGTCGAGCTCGAGCATGGCACTGCTCAAGCTCGTCTCGATTCGGTTATACCACTATAGGTGATGGAACACACACATATACCTAGGGATAGAAATGTCTTTCATATTGATGATCATGTTCCAAGAAAACATTTTAGCAAAAGTGAAATAACCTAAAATTGTTCGATTGAAAATATTGCAAACCTCATTAAAGAGAGACTAATTTTATAATGACCAATTATTGTGTATGGTAAATGATCATAAAAAAAGCTGCTGACAATGATGCAATTGTGTAAAGTTGCATGCTGGTAGGGTAAATTTTCCTTCATCTCCATTCTTTCATCCATAAATCATCTGTGTGCCTAGTCCCTTTTTTCTCTTTTTCCTTTTTAGTGGACAGAATGGGATCAGAGATGTATTGAGTCCCATCAAGAAAGAAGGAAGCAGGGTATATGATGCAACTTCTTGAAGGGTATATTCCTCCCATGGGTTGCCACTTGTTTAAGCGAAATGAAGAACTAAAAAGCCAGAATTTTCCACTAAAAGCCACAGACAGTCCCTGAAAGCAGTCAATCGGCCAAGGTTAAAAGGCATCTGTTGAATGCAATCATGGTTGCTTAATGCCCAATGGTCAGTCAGCAAAGCGAAGATAATTAACTTTTTCAAATTAACTTTTTTAGTGAAGACAGTAGATGAAATCTATACATACATACATACATATATATATATATATCTAGACACATAGACACATACACTGTGTGTGTATATCTGTGTATGTGTGTGTAAAATTTATCTGAGCTGATGCAATATGGGTTGTAAAAGAAAAAAATATCATCAAATGATCATTAGTCTTTCTTCTTTTATGATCATGTCTCCCACTATTAGCCACTGATTTTCCACCACTATGTTGTCGTAAATAATAATAATAATAACAATGGGGGACAAAAGGAGCTGAACAAATGGTTAAATGCTTGAGTGATCAAGAGTTTAACCTTTACCTCCTACGATATACTTGCCACTATGATTTCCCGTCAGCTCTCCCTTTCCCTAGAATAGGTTAGAATAAGTTATACAAATGCTATCGTTACGTAAAAAAAAAAAAAAATTAATGCTTGATAGACATGAAAATATTGTCTGCAAATACGAAGTTGGGCTCATCAGGGTCAGTTTCATTGCAAATTAACAACGTAACTAGCCCAACTAAAACCACACAGAGTCCCGTGATTCAACCATTTAAGTTTGATACCAATCACCAGCCCAGTTCTTTCCGCGTGTGATTCGAATGGTCCAGTTCTTAAATCTTTAATACCCTTCCCTGGGCCCTCTCTATGCTGTTAAGAAAAGAAAAATACACATGATTCGTGCCAGGAGAAAAAAAAACCCACATGTTTAATTGAAAACCATGTAGTGTTTGAGGAGTAATATCTTTCTTTATAAAGTTTGAGCAGAGTTTGGTGTTAAGAAAGAAAAAAAAAATGTCATTATTTGTTTTGCCAAATATACCTTTTCAATATTCACTAATAATTATCCACATCTTATTTATTAAACTTTCCACTCCTACATAACTACCACTACAATAAAATAGACACACACAAACACAAACACATACTCCCATTTTTTTTAGCCTAACAAAACTTCTAATGAGCCAACAACTTCTTTTCCCAAAAAAAAAGAAAAAAGGAAAAAAGGAAAAATATAATTCTTCCATCCATATTTCTAAAACGAAACCTCCAACACCAAGGAAAAAATTAATAAAAGTTAATATATATTTTTAAATTTTTCTTTTAGATTTGCAAGCATATAGGGGGAGTGTCAGAGAAGGTAATGTAAGTGAAAGATTTCGAGTTCGAATCCTCCCATTTACATTAAAAAAAAACACACACACACACACAGGGTGTGCCATTCCCACCGGTTAAAGTTATTTTTGTGACATGAACTAGTAGATGGTTGATAAAGAACAAAAAGATACCAAGGTCACTTAAATTTTGTGTCGGTCACTTGACATTGATGCATGAAGTATGAGTTAAAAATGTCAAGAAAATTGACGTTTCTTTTGTATGATAATGGAATTTGCAATGGACATTGGACAGGAGGTGAAAGCAGCAGCATTCAGTAATTCTCATAAGAACTGGGATATTAGTTGTAGTACTTTCAAAACAAAGTTGCACCGGCCAAGACTCCATTAAGAACCTGTGATGCATGCTCCTCTTCCCAAGGATACAAGTTCAAATCAGAGCTCAACTTGCTAAGTAGCAGTACAATTTTCATCAGATCCAAAGTATCCTCTTGTGATACATTCTTCTTGAAACATTCTACCTAGGATCTATCTGTAAGGAATTGCGTTTCCCTAACACGCTCAAGATTTATGGTCTCTCTCCAATCTCCCAATCTAGAGGACCACTGGAGCCTCAGCCCTCATATCACTTTGTTTGCTAAAATCTACCGTTTGCCCTTTATATTGCAGTGGTAAAGTCGTGTTCTTCTTTCACAATTTTATTGCTATTATCTGAAGGGGGTACTTGTAAGATCTTATAGTAGCTGGGTCCGATAGGTAAGAAAAACTCGGTCCAATAACTTTTGTTTCTTGCTGTTAAGATCCACTGCTGATAGAAACAAACTGGTACAAGAAAAGTTTCTCGAATTTAAACTAAAAGGACTTGGATTGAATTCCCTTTTAGACTTCAACAGATTCTGTCAAGTTTACAGAGTATCACTACCAATCAGCACAACATTGCTCAGAGTTGGATGCCGTTCCCCCCATACGATTCTTGCGGTGTTGAACCATTATAAATGAGAGAAGAATCACATGGAACTGAGGCGGAAATTCGTTGGATGATGTAGCAGAACAACAGGAGTTATCTTATAAATGCACCAGTATGCAGGCGTCCCACTTCAATATCAAAAATCATTGTGAAACTTCCATCAGGAGAAATCATTACGAGCTAAAAACTCAAAAATCTAACAATTTTCCAGTGAGGGCCGGTTCCATTTACGAGGAAGACAGCGTGAAGCACACTAATAAAAGATACGGGAAACTCCCGTGGGATCAGATCATCGCCTGAAGGCTGAAGCACATTTCCAAAGGACCTCGTAACTCTTTTGAGGAATGGACCATTGGCGCTGATACAACAAGGGACAAGAATTCTATCTTTACTAAACTAAAAGAACTCGAAGTCTAGATATTTACCCCCTGATTTCATCGCGTCTGTTCCTACAATCCTTTTACTGCTACTGCCAACCCCAATGGGGTCAACTTTTCCAAACTTCACAGGAAGCTCGGCCTCTATTGGCCTAGGCACCTCTGGCGGTGTACTGCATCGTATAAGAGCCCAATTAACGCCTTCAAAGAAAGGATGCTGCTTGATCTCAGTTGCTCCCCTTTTTGTCCCAAGCCGATGTTGTGGCTCTTTGACAAGCAACCCACGGATCAAATCTCGACTAGCATAACTGGTAGCAGGAGAGTCTGGAAACCTTAGCGGCTGACCTACTACGTTGAACAATGTAGCACGATTTCCCGAGCCCTTAAATGGGGTTTTGCCATACAAAAGTTCATGCAAAAAAATACCAAAAGTCCACCAGTCAACTGCACTGCCATGGCCCTCTCCCTTAATAATTTCGGGGGCTAAATATTCATGGGTCCCTACAAATGACATGGATCTTGCTGAAGTAGGTTCTGCAACAAGTTCAGGCAGCATGCCAGCAAGAAGTGCATTCTCAGCTCGCAGTTTTGGAGACTTTTTCTTGCTTTTCTGAGGAAATATCCGGGGAATGAAGCATGCTGGCTGAATACAAACGGACGTAGGCTCAATACAGGATGGCTGAACACAGAATGCAGCTCCTCTTTTGGAAGGGTCATCCATTGAGGAGGTTTTGATCAGAGTTGGTGAAACAGCACATCTTAGGGAAAGATCAAAGTCAGAAAGCATAATATGGCCATCATCACGGACCAGAACATTTTCTGGTTTCAAGTCCCTGTAAACGACTCCCAGCATATGAAGATACTCAAGTGCCAAGAGAACCTCAGCAGCATAAAACCTGCCAACATGAACAGAAAATGAATACAGGGATTAATCCCACTTGGTCCCCCAAATTACATAGGGACTTCTAAAAGTCATTATGACAGACAGTAAAAAGCTGATAAATGATAATTTGTTCTTTCTTTCTCTCTATTGCTCTCCTCCCAGTAGGGGTGTGGGACTACTAATCATGTAATCAATCAGCCAATAGATGAAGGAATGTATAAACCAAATACTCAATTAAAAAGAGACAAAATAAAATAGCTAAAAACTCTATTAGTTTCATGAATCACAAGTCTAATAAGTACTAGTATATCCAATGTCCAAGCACATCATCCATCCACAATTTTGAATTTTCTGTAGCACACACAGAGCTTAAATGCCCAATGACTTGTTTATGTTAAAGGTATGAGATGTAATGAACCATAGGCTATAGATTAGCTGAAGCACCATGTTCAAACAAAACAAGTCCTTGCCACACAGATCAGACACGGTAGCAAGCCAACTTATGAAACAAGGGAGAGCACTATCTCACGTTGCATGTAATCTTAACATAGTTCACTTACATGTTAGTAACTAGATGTTGAGGTTAAAGCTAAAAAACAAAAGCAATATATGCAATCAAGAGAAGGAATCATTAAAAAGCTATGTGAATTTGATGTTGCCTAGTCCAACTAAAAAAAAACTGCACTGTGACCTGGAAAACAGCAGAAGAACATCCATACCTCGCAGCATATTCTGAAAAATGCTTCCCTGGTTGTCGCTGCCTCAACGTATGCAGATCACCCCCAGGACAATATTCCATGACCAAACATGAAAATCTGTCTGTTTCAAAATGAGTATACAGAGTTGGCAAGAATGGATGATCAAGCAGCTGCAGGATATCTCTCTCCGTCTGAGCCCTGGTCAACTTTTTCCTGCTTGCAAGTGAAGCCTTATCCATAACTTTCATAGCAAAATAACAACGAGTACCACTCAGCTCAGACAGGTAAACACTGCCGATGTCACCACAGCCAAGTCTTTTCAGCAACCTAAAATGACTCATGCCCAAAATGCCATCTCGTGCCCGAATTGCAAGAATAGCCTTCCATCTTGGATCATTTCCCTTGTGAGGCTTATTTGCACTACCAGTTATGTTACTCCAGTTACTATCATCACTAAGGCCACTGCTGTCACTTGCTCTGCTAAGGCTAGTTTTGGCACTCTCAAGTGAGTCCCCTCGAGTGCTCATTTTTGTACTCTCATAATGCCTGTCAACACTAAGCATGCCATCGCTCATTATACCATCACTCCTGTACGTACTAGTGCAGCTATTCCCGATGCTCATAGCTGTTACAACTCCTGTACTGTCAATACTACTATGGGGGCTTACATTGCCACTTGGAGGCAAGGAAGCATCCCAAACACATTCTTTTTCCTCAGAATCTGGGGGGAGACTCACTTCTGTATTCTGCGATGGGCGAGGAATTGCAAATGGTGAGGAGACTGCCGGTAGGTCAATTGGCTCTTCTACCAGGCTCTCTGAAGGAGAAAGAACAGAGATGCTCGGTTTGATACCAGGAACGCGGATTGAAAGATCTTCAATGAAAGGTCCCTTTACGGATAGACTCTTCACCAAGCACTTACCATCTGCTTTGTTCTGTCCAATCGGCACATAAACTGGCTTCATCAAATCTGTATCAATTGGTTCTGGAGGATGGCTCACCCCATGAAATGAAGTAGAGCCAGGCTCCTCATACGAATCAACACTGCTCTTTATAGAAACAACATCATGCATAGGTTCCTCTATTTCCTGTGGACTATCCTTCCCCTTTCGAGTTCGAACAGAAGCACGTAAATTTGAATCTTGAACATACCGGAGACTAGGTTGAGCACTGGACTCCTCCCTCACCAAAGTGATGTGAGTATTTGTCACCTCAGCTACAATGGGTAACTGCCTGGGAAGTGGTCTTGATCCGGGAAACCTGTCCATCTCTTATGAAGTTTTATCATCACATGTAATTCCTACCCCAGCCAGACAACTCCACAAAAACCTGCAAAAAAATTAATAATTCACCATGAATGAGCTATAAAATACAAATCCAGAATGAAACCAGCCAAAGTCATCTGTTGCTTTGCACTGATATGTTCCTAAATAAAAATTAATCTGATTCACACCAATATTTCATCAACAAAGACCATAACGCCGATTACACCTACGTACACTTCGGGTTGATTCAATGTTAGAACAACTAAGACTCGCAGCTTTTAAAGAAACAAATGGAATTAAAAGGGCATCATATATCGATCAATTTATACAGCAAAGCTCGCTACAAACTTCAGTATTCTAAAAAAAATCCCATTGCTTTCCCTCAAAAGATTATGTATTCTAGTAAACCATAAATGGGAATAACCACCTCAGAGTTAACTCAATCCACCAAAAATCAACCTTGAAAATGAATACTAACAAAAGCCGCTCCTCTAGAAATGAAAAGTCCCCTGCACATCCTATTCTTCTGTTGCCATTTGGGAAAAATTTAGCTTTCTCTGTTCTGTTTATTTGGGACGGCGGGCCGGGGGAGACAGAATTACTTGAATTCCACGCAAACAAATTAAAAAGAGCAAAATAAGGGAAGAATATATTAGAAGTATCACGACCAAAAAGATCCCAAATGGTATCAATCAAAAGGGACCTTCCAAAATAAATACAGAGTTAACAATTTTCAGTAAGCAAAACTGAAAAACGCGTCCATACCCAGAAAAACAACGGGAATCCGGATCTAGGGTTTTGGCCTATCTCCCTCCCTTGCTTTCACGAGTTTCTCACCACAGCCCCCGCGCTCCTCTTCCTTTTCTTTTTCCTGCTTCTCCCTTTTCTTTAATCTGATTTGACAAAAACTAGGAACAATATTCGGAGAAATGGCAAAAACACAACTTCTGGAGCTCTAACTCCTCTTAAAAAACTGATAGCAACCCCCCACTGCGTGATTTGTGTGTTAGGGAGATAAAAAAGAAGAAAAGAACAAACAGCACAATCAAAGCTGAAAAGGGATTTTCTTGAACGTAGTAACGATACCAAAAAAATGGAAAATGAGTAGCAGCGAGAGCAATGCAGAGAGGAAGCAGAGGCAGCTGTGAGGAGAACACGAAGAGGAAGAATGATGTGTTGGGGGGGTGGGGGGATTGGGTGTATTTCTCCTTCTCTTTATTGCACTACTGTTGCTGGTCTTGCTTGGTATAGTACCGGTACTTTTGCTAGAATGGAATTGTTTAGTCCTAACTCCTTTTCGTGGTGGACTAGGGAACGCACTTTAGTCATGTGTCTTCACTGTGATCACTGATTTTTTTTTTCAACAGCCTGAATCAGACTTTTGTTGTTTTATAAACCTAATCCCAGAATTAACCTCAAAAGCCGGCAACTCTTGAGGCAATCCCAGGAACTTATATCCCAACCCAAACCCAACCCCAACCCCGATGTGGGACAAATGTACCTATAGGGGGGACCTGCTGCTAAGTGGGATACTACCACCCAATACCCTTTCAACCCTGAGACAATTTGTCTTTTTTCAACAGCCTGAATCAGACTTTTGTTATTTTATAAACCTAATCACTGATTCACTGATCATATTTTTAGACTTTGGAGACTGCCGAAGGTGGGAAGAGAAAGTAGAAAATAGAAGTAGGCAAGCATATACAATCTGCAGCGTGGCAATATGGCAATGGCGTGCGAGACCAGTAGAATTACTTGCTACCGAGAAGTAGGGGAGAGTATTTTATTTTGAGCAGAAAGAAAGAAAGAAAGAATATGCAAATCGGTAAATGATCGTGACATGTGGTATTCTATGCCTGGGTCAGATTCGTGTATATAAAAAGTTGAGCTGATGCCACACCGTAGGACGAGCTATTCACACACCAAAGGCTTGGGACAAAATTCCCATTTGGATTGCTATTTTTGAAATTTTTGTAAAAAAATAGAGTCAAAATAATATAATATATATGAGATAAAAAGATAATTGAAAAATATGTTCGTGAAAAACGTGAAAACTCTTACCTTGAAACTTGCAAACCAAATTGATTCTCTTTGTGCATAACATTACAATGGTAGTGTTCAAAGAGAATATGTCCATTTGCCAATTAATTTTGAACGGCCTGTCTATCTAACAAGTGTCCAAAATATAGTTCACAGGTTGATTTTTTTAAAAATAAAATGTAATAAATTGGATGTGATTTAGGTGTATTAAAATGCGCTCATTAATAAGTAGCACACTTCTTTTGAGTGAAATTGGTCAAAAATTGCTACTTTAGCTTCGGACCAAATTAAGATGGAATAAATGTTAATAACAAAAGCAAAATTGAAAGAACAAGTCTTACTAGATGCGACTTAGTTTAACCATGTCTTGGCATTCATTTTCAATAAGTATGGATTAGATTTAATGTTGATGAAATGATGGATTGCAAATTGTTGGTATTTAATGTTGTTGAATTGATTAATTGAAATTTTTTGGTATTGATCCCATCATTGCAAGTTAATTATAATGGTATAAAAAAATAAAAATTGAGCAATTAATTGAACTTTTATATGGTTTTAAACTAAATGCATTTATTTAAGGAAACAATTTACATGGTTTTAAACTAAAATGTAACTAATTTCTCCACTAGAATATTAACACATAACTAAACAAATTCTCTGTAGTATTTCTTAAGGTGATGTATTTTGTTAGGTGTATTTTAAATTTGAGTATTTCTTAAGGTGTTTTGTGCATTTTAAATATTTTTTATATTTATTTTGGGTGTTTAAAATAAGACAATTTGATAGGAATTCATATTAATCTAACACTCTTTTGTATTTTTTAAGTTTTTTTGTTTCATATAACTTATTTTTACAAACTAATTTAGTATTTTAATCTTTTAATTTTGACCCGTGCTATTGTTAGCTTCACTTTTATTTGAGAATCTTTTTTTTTTTTTTGCATGTATACGTATTTGGTACATATCTGAGACTTGGTGTGTGGATAGCAAAAGAATCGTACTTAAATGGCTAAAGAGCCTCCCAGGACCAGGAGGAGGTCAGTTTGACTGGCGGAAGGCTGACAAGTAACTAGGGCCTAATGGGGAGAGGTTGTGGTCCGAAGCAGAGACGGAGAAATGAGAAAAGTGGGGACCACTGGCGATTTCTCACCGTTGGATGGCCCAGATGTGGGACCTACCTCTGTTCCTTCTTTAGACTACACGTCTTTTCAAAAGCGGGCCGAAGCCTGAATGCATCATCACGTCGGCTGTCTTCTCTTTGCAGCCCGATCTGCACAAATCAATTCCTAACAGCCCCCGGATTAGGAATTTTAGTCTAGCATTACCACTCCTATTTTTTGACATTAGAAACAAGGGAGAAAATCCCACTAGCACCACTAAAGGAGATAAAATAATTATGATAGTGATTTGCAACTATATATATTTTGTATGGCGTCTTCTGTTTTTGAAAATTTTATTATAATATACAAAGATTCGTCTAACGAATGCCCAATAAAATTAATTAAGAAAAATTTATAAACGTACAGAAGGATAATAATTATTAATATATTATTCATAGAATAAATGAGTGTAAATTAAGTGTGTCAATGAGTGCTTAATGAGCATCCATAACCAAGAAAAAAGAAAAAACTCTCTGAATTAAGTCTGAAAATAGGGGATAGTGTATTATTTGAAATATTATTTCGACTAATTACTGTAGCACTTTTTTATGATGTGATGTATGTGAGATAAAAAGATGATTGAAAATATAAAAAGGTGGGTTAAAAAATGTATTTGTGATATAAGCGAAATATTATTTGGGATAAAAACACTATCCAAACAAACGCCTTTTGCTCAAAAGATATACTTGATAGTCAAAATCATAAAATTAAGTCTAAACTCGAGGAAATTGTGGGGCTTTGGAATAAGGGATATCCTTTTCTTTGAATATATTATACCTACCGAAAAAGAAAAAAAGGAAAAGAGGGTTTTTTCTGTGGTGGGCGGGCGGGGGGTTTTGACGAAATACTAGAGGACAAAATACTTATGTTGATTAAGCTATAGAGTGGGCTTGAAGTTTAATAAATAGAGAATCTAAAGGCTCACTAATTGGGGAACATGGGACCCACAAACCCGTGCTTTTTTGACACATAATTACACTTCCTTCTTCGCTACCGCAGGTGTTATGTAACCAGTGGCAATAAAAACAAAGAATTTCCGCAGTTGGTGGTCGGAATTCTTTTGCTGAAAATAAGAAGGAATACAAGTGGGAATTACTGAATATCACCGCTTCGCTTTACAACCTAAAAAGTAGAAAGTCAATTTGGGAATGTTGAAAATCATGACATGAATTGGAAGACTTGTTTTTGACTCGTAAATTTCCTAATACGTGTAATCTACGTATAAATGCTAGCTTCTCCAAATCGATCAGTCCTTTATGCCTGGAATAGAGAAGGTTGCAAGCGATTTGAGAGCTAGCTTTCAAAGATCTAGAATCCGGACAATGGTAAACCCCAATCTTAAATGCTAGTGCATCAATGAACATTATTGTAGGACTGTTGTGCTTTTTGTTTGGACTCTTGTCCGGTTACTGTAAAGTTTTTACGATAAAATATAAAGCTACCATTCCGATAGAAAAAAATGAGTTTTTGACCGGCAAACTATATAGATACAGGCAATTTTGAATTCATTTAAATTGCTATTTTATGAAATTTTTATTAAAAAAAATATTCTAACGATTTAATATATACGAAGTAAAAAAATAATTAAAATACAATCGAAACAAGGCCTAAAGAATCAAGTCTTGATTTTTTTTTCCAAAGCCGAAGTGACTTTTTGGCATTTTACAAACCTAATTCCACAGGAAACCACAAAAGCTGGCAACTCTTGTGGTTCCTGAGGAGACTTATAAATTATCCCAAACCCCCCCCAACATTCGATGTGGGATAACAACCTTAAGCAGGCGAGCTGCTTCTAAGACCTAAAGAGACCTCACTCAATCCGGACTGGCTGTTGTCTTTTTTCCAAAGCCGAAGTGACTTTTTGGCATTTTACAAGCTGAAGTCTTGATGGCTCATTATACTATTATAACTATGATCTTGTCTGTATTGGTTAAGAAGTCACCTGTTAAAAAATGCTACTATATCTAATCTGAACCCCCCCCCCCCCCCGCGCCCCCTACTTCTCCGATTCAAGTAAAAATAAAATAAAAAAAAGTGAACAAAAGAAAAGCAGAGAAAACTCAGTAAGAAAAGTTAGTACCTGTCACAAATTCTTCATAATTAGTCAATAGAAAAGCAGGCTTCCTTCATACTATAGTACCCATACAATAAAAATGCAACAGAGTAAACAAACATTTCGTACTGCGCGCTAACAATACCGTTAGATGTTCCAGACACGCCTCTAATAATTCGAAAACGACATTCGATGCCGTGGATTATTGTGAATCTCAAGGGATCAGGATTACTAGAACCTACCCTTGCTTTAAGAAGGAAAGGGCAGTGGGGATTGATGGGGAAGGAGGGGGGGGGGGGCGGCGCAGTGGGGAGGAGAAAGGGAACTAGTTAATCTTGGTCAACATGATGGAAACTTGCACTTGTCAGAATTGGATAGACAAATACCCGTTCCTATTCCTTTTTGTTTGGTCATGAAAATGAAAAGATTAAAGGAGGAAGGGACAATGTCGATGTAACAATTGACAAAAGATAAAGGCAAGGTATTGACATTTGATACTTTGCAGTAAGCTGCCCCAAATGAAAAGGACAATATAATTATGTAACCTTGCTGATAATCATATGATATAGCATAAGCTTCGTATTTTCGAACAGCCAAAAAAAAAATCTATACATAAATCGTCCAAAGGCCAAGTAACTAAGAAATCTATTCATAGGCTTGGACGTACTATTTTGCCTTAAAGATTAAAAAGAAAAAAAAAAAGGGAACACAATCCCAGGAAAATGTACGAGCTGGGAAAATACCATGAAATTATTGGATTCGGGGACCCCCAAAGAAAACATGCACACATGCAGAGAAATGTCAATGAGGTGCAGAAACAAGAGCTGACAAAGAGGTCGAAACTTCAGAGCAGGAAATGGAAGAAAAAGACGTGTGAGCGTGCATGCTCCATCAGTATCCAGATAGTTGGTAGTCATGAGAGGACAGGACTTGTATATGTTGCTGTGACCATTGAAGCCCTGAATGAATATTAACCCTAATTCCTTAGGAACAATTGATCAAGCAGCTGGCAGGGATTT